TTGGGGGGAAAAAAAAAAAATTAAATTGTATAAAGGGATCTGAACAAATAGAATTGTAACTCAATATTAAAAATGAAGCAATGTTTTCTCAGATACCACTTTCCATTGAGTACTCCATTCATTAAAATTGCATCACCACAATGAGGTGTGTGCTTGTACATCTGTTCTTTTACCTTGTAATCTATTATTGAGCACCTGCTAGATCAGGCATGGAGTTCATCCAGAGCTCAGGCAGAACAATGCAGGATAAAAGACTCTTTTCAGTGTGTTCTGCAGTTTTCTTTGGATGAGAGCACCAGCTAGATTACTGGCTCCCAAATCTCATGCCCTCTGGTTTGCAGCCTCCTTCTGACTTCCAGATGCTTGCCCTCTTCCCTACACCATTAACTGCCTGTTCACGACCCCCATTTTTACGGCTCTTGACAAGTCCTAAGCTTTCTTCAGTTTCTCTTACTGCCCTCTGTGTATTATGGTAACAGAAAAAAAAGAAAAAAACAGAAAAACAGCATTGTTAATATGATATCAAATTGTACTATCACCAAGGAATAAACCTACAGTGTGATTGGACACTAATGCAAATGTTCCCTTCAACAATTTAAGAGCCCCTGAAAATTATTTAATAATAACTTACAGAAAAATGAATCTTTGAATAAGATAAAATATGATCATTAAGCATTTTTTTATTTTTAAATTTCTTAAAAATGTAATTTTTCTAATCTAGCCAGGAAAAAAAATGAAAAGTATTGTCTCTGGTTATTCCAATAGGACACCCTAGTGTTCCAACAGCACCTTAGTTCTGAATCTTCTCACTTTCCCTCTTGGGAGCTGTACACAATAAGGCAAACAAGGGAAACATGAAAAAAATCAAACAAAATGAAACAACAACAAGAAAGATTAGAGAAAAAATGTTAGATATAAATGACAAGCAAAGGAAAATCAACACGTATTTAATTGGAGAAACTGAAGAAGGAACACAAAACAGAACAAAATATCTATTTTAAAATGTATTTCAAGTAAATGTTATGGACATAAAATACTACTTAGTCTACATTTTAAAATTGCACATCACATAGCAGCAAAAAATTGAACCAAATAGTCCATATCAAAACAGCTAAGAGTAGGATTATTAGATTTCAAAGATAAAGAATAATATCTTTAGAGAGGCAAACAAAGACCAAGTCCCATCTAAGAGTAAAAACTCCGGGTTGACACCAGAGTTCTGCACAGCAACATCCACCAGCAAAAGGTATGCAGCAATATCTACGAGATGGTCGAGAAGAGAAAGGATGAGCCAAGAACTTTATTCCCAGCCACATTATTTTTTAAGTATCAAGGCCTCGGACATTATTTGAACTTGTAAGAACTTGAGGAATAATTTTCACTGGGAGTTTTTTTTTTAGAAATCACCAGAGGACAAATTATAGCCAACCAAGAGATGACAGGAAAACTTTAGCAAAAACAAAACAAAAACCTAACAAATAAAAAACTGGTAGTGAACATTGAACATGTCGATCTAAGACAAAAGCAAAGGTGGAATTAAGAGTGACTGAATGAAATATAAGTGTTAATGAAATAAAAATATAGATGTTTGGCACTACTCTGACAGTGCTGAAATGATATAACAAAAAAGAGGAGATGAGGGAGAGAGTGGAAAAGAAAATGAACTCCCTCATTGCCTCATCTGCAAGAGTTGCAATTGAACTCAAGCTACAGACACATATGAGGATTTAATGTTAAATACAAAATAAACAGTAAGATAATACAAATGACAGAAACTTACTGGTAGAAAAGATAGAGGAGGTGGGGAGGGGAGGGGGAGGGGAGGATACAAGATAAGTTTACTGTTGCTCATAACAAGGAACAAATTTAAACTGCCTAGAGATAAAGGGGAATAATGATATTATACAAATGTAAATGTATAAAGGTAACCATTAGAACCAAATTTTGAACCTTCCTAAATATAATATATATATATAAATATATAAATAGCACACACATACACATACAGTCATGCATCGTTTAACAATGCAGATATGTACATTCTGAGAAATGTGTCGTCAGGTGATTTCATCATTGTGTGAATATTGTAGAGTGCATTTACACAAACCTAGATGGTGCAACCTACTACAGAACTAGGCTACATTGTAGTAATCTTCCAGGACCACTGTCGTATATGCTGCCCACTGCTGACTGAAATGTTGTTATGTGGTGCACGACTGTGTATACATATAGTACAAAATATGAAATAATATAACAAAACCATGTCTATGGATATCACTCATATCAATAAATGTAATTGGACTTAAGTTTCCTGTTGAAAGACAAAGAGATTTTAACTGGAACAAAATTCAACTCTATGTTGTACACAGGAGACAGACCTAAAAGTGTCTCAGATAGATTAGAAACAAGAGGAAGAGGGGCCAGCCTGGTGTCACAGTGGTTAAGTTTGCGCGCTCCGCCTCAGTGGCCTGGGGTTCGCAGGTTGGCACCCCCGGCACAGACCCACACACCGCTTATCAAGCCATCTTGTGGCAAGTGTCCCACACATAAAGTAGAGGAAGATGGGCCCAGGGCCAATCTCCACAGCAAAAAAGAGGAGGATTAGCAACAGACATTAGCTCAGGTCTAATCTTCCTCACCAAAAAAAAAAAAAAAAAAGGAAGAGCAAAGTTATATCAAGCAAATGCAACCCAAAAGAAAAGCAGGGATGATGATGTTGATATTCCAGAAACTGGACATCAGAACCAAGATTATTAAATTACACAAAGATGGGCATATTATAGTGTTAAAGGTTTGATTTGCAGTGAAGAGCTATAAATACTTATGTACCAAAAATGTAGCAGCAATTTTAACAACAGCAAAAAAATACATGGGACATAAGAAAAAAATCAAAATGTGCTGTTCATTATTTGTCAATAATTTGTGATATTTAAAATAATTATGAAATTGTTAATTTACTTAATTCTTATCTTTAAGCTTAAGACATATAAATTAAGGATTCAAAAGAGCTAATCAATAATAAAGTAGATTTGATGTGTATATATCAAACTCTGTATGCTACTAATAAATAATATACCTTCATTTCAAGTGCCTATGGAATATCAATGAAATTAATCATATATTATGGTGTATCCTAAAACCTCAATAAATTCTAAAAAGTAGAAATAAAACAAGTAATATTCTCTGTTGGTCGAAAAGTCTTAGCCACCAATGGAGGAATGCTTCTACCTTGGGACACAACAAGAGTTCTATTAAATTAAAGTTACCAAATTTAGCAAATTAAAATACCTAGGATAAATAACCAGGATGCCTAGTTAAACGTGAATTTCAGGTAAACAATAAATATCTTTTTTTAGTGTAAATGTGACCCAAATATTGCACGGGACATACTTATACTAGAATTAAACTGGCAATCCTGTATTTTGGCAACCCCAAATTGAACTTGTAGACTCATCAAGTCTGGGCCCTCATACAAATGAATGAACAGGCAAAGAAAGGGGTTACTCTCACGACTGCTGTGATTAACCCTGATTATCCAGGGGAAATTGCGTTGCTTCAATGCAATGGTAGTGAGGATGAGTATGTCTGGATGCAGAAGATCCCAGGGCACCTCTTTGTACTACTCTCATGTCCTCTAATTGAAGTCAACGAAAACTATGACAACCCAATACAGGCAGGAACGCTAATGGCCCAGACCCCTCAAGAATAAAGGTTTAGGTGATCCCATCAGGCAAGGAACCACCATCAGATGAAATACTTGCTGAGGGCAAAGTGAATATGGAACGAATACTAGAAGCGGGTACTTATAAATACCAGCTACAGCCACATGACCAATGGTAGAAACAAAGTCCATGAGAGTTATGCATATTTCTTTCTTGTTTTGATATATATATCAGTTAGAATATATAATGGAAGAAAAGATCCATTTGAAATAGCAAAAATGAAATGCCTAGGTTTAAACACTTCAAGAAATGCAAAATCTATGTGAAGAAAACTTGGAAACACTCCTGAAGAAACAAGAGAAACAGACTAAAATGAATGGAGCAGAACATGCCATCCCAAAACGTGCCGCTTTGGAATAAGGATTACTTTGAGCTAAACACACTTGAAAACAGTAGATGCAAGAAGGGCATTCTGACTTTTCCTTTCCTTCTTGAAAGCAGGAGTTCAAACTTTCACGTGAAGGATGCCCTTCCTTAGATCAGAAGGAGAAAACACTCTTATCGCCAGAGAGGGGGAGTTGAGACCAAGAGAAATCTGAACCGACAGGCCTTGTTGAAAATAACCCTTACCCTCCTTTAGCCTCTCCTCTATATATTTTACTTACTATTTTCCACAATTACTACTCTTTGTTCAATCTAATATATAGCACTTAGGCCTAACTGCTTTTTGGGTCTTCATTTTCCTGTGAAGGTGCCCATGTACATGTAAAAATAAAATTTGTATGCTTTTCTCCTATCAATTTGTCTTATGTCAACTTAATTCTCAGGCCCAGCCAGAGACCCTAAGAGGGTAGAGGAAAAGTTTTGTCTCCTCTACAGTAACATATTCTTGTCTAGGGAGACTCAACATAGAAAAAAAAAAAAATCTATTCTCCTAAAATTAAGTTAAAAACTAATCCAACACTGATTCAAAAATATGCCTAATATTAAAGTTCATATAGAAAAATAAACAGATAAATGTTGCCAGGAAAATTCCCAAAAAGATGAGCAATAAGGTAGATCTACCCATATTGGCTATTAAAACATATTATAAAGCCTCAATAAGTAGATGACCGAGAAATGTGTATACGAATATATAGGCAAAACAATGGCATTTCATAGAAAGTCCAAAAGTAGACCCAGAGACATATGAGAATTCAGTATAATATCCAAAAGCACTCTCAAATCAGTAGATTGAAGATAGATTTTTAAATAAATGATGCTGGGATAACAGGAAAGCCATATGGAAAAATATAGACTAAGATGAGTACCTCATTTGTTGTTTTAGTGCCTTGAGTCCACCCTGACTCTTAGTGCCCCTGTGTACAGCAGAGCAGAAGCCTGTCCTGTCTTTTTGCACCATTCTTTCACCTTCTGGGTGCTATATCAGACACTGCTCCACTGCTATTCCAAGTTTTTTGGAAGTGGGTGGCCAAGTCCTTCTTCCTAGTCTGTCTTAGTCTGGAAGCTCTACTGAAATCTGTCCACCATGGGTGACCCTGCTGGTATGTGAAATCCTGGTGGCAGAGCTTTCAGCATCATAGCAACATGTAGGCGTCACAGTATGACAACCGACAGATGGGTGGAAACAAACCCCCCACCCCACCCCGGGCAGCGAGAGCGCAGCATCTTAACCACTAGACCACTATCTACCTCATACTGTATACTATATATATTGACTCCAAATGGATCAAAGCTTTAAACATCAAAAAACATGAAAACAAGGAGCTTGCCCGGTGGGGTAGTGGTTAAGTTTGTGTGCTCTGCTTCTGTGGCCCGGAGTTTGTAGGTTTGGATCCTGGGCATGGACCTATGCACTGCTTATCAAGCCGTGCTGAGATAGGTGTCCCACATATACAGTGGAGGAAGATGGGCACGGATATTAGCCCAGGGCCAGTCTTCCTCAGCAAAAAGAGGAAGATTGGCAACAGGTGTTAGCTCAGGGCTAATTTTCCTCACATACACACACACACACACACACACACAAATATATATATATATGAAAAACTAAAAGTGGTAGAAGAAATCTAGGCAAATACGTGGTTTAAAATCTTGTACTGGGGAAGACCTTTCAAATTAAGACCTAAAATGTAGAAGCCATTTTTAAAAAGGAGATTGATAAATTTGACAGCATAAAAAACAGTTTGTCCTTGAGAAGAAAAAAAAATGTACCAATAGCCAAGTCAAAAGAAAAATGATATACTTGGGGGAAAAGTTGCAGCTCATATCAGAAACAAGGGCTAACCCCTAATATGCCTAGGCTCATGTGTATGTCCTTATGTATATATCCTAGAAATTAAGAATAACAAGTTCAAGTTAATAGAAAAAAATCGGCAAAGGACATGCCAAACAGTTCACAAATAAATAAAACATCTCTTGAGCATATAAAAATATGCTCAACTTCACTTATAACAAGAGAAAAATACATTGAAACTATAATGAAATTTCATTTTTACCTCTTAAATTGGAAAAATTTCAAAAATTTGACAAGTTTTCAAAAGTTTGACAATATACTTAGTAGGAAAGTTTACAGAAAGAGACATTTACATACTTTGTAAAACCATGTAAACCCTAGGGAGAGCAATTTGGCAAGATTTTAAAAATTTTCAAATATATGTACTCTTTGATCCAGAAATCTCACTCTGGGAATTTACAGATACAAGTATATATGTACAAAATGATATATGTACAAGGTAATGCATCAGATCACTGTTCAGAATAGCAAAAGATGGGAAATATCCATGGATCCGTCAGAGACTGTTAATCTATGGAAGTCACACAATAAAATTCTACCCAGTTGTAAAAGGAAATTAATGAGGAACCTCTCTATGCACAAACATGTAAATATCTCCAGTATATATTGATAAGTAAAAAATAAAGCAAGATTCAAAACTACTTTTGTTATTGGAAAGGTGCAAAATAAACATATATACTAATTTGTTAGCTTGTATTTGGAAAGGAAAGACTAGAAAGATACGTAAGAAACCAATAAAAGCAGATCCCTGTTTAAGGACAGGAAGGAATGGGGTGGATGGTGATAGAGTGGAGGTGAGAATTCTCAGTGTATATCTTTTTACATCATTTTCACTTTTGAAATATATGAACACAGTAGCTATTTTTTTTTGTGAGGAAGATCAGGCCTGGGCTAACATCTGTGCGCATCTTCCTCTACTTTATATGGGACTTGACACAGCATGGCTTGACAAGCAGTGTGTCGGTGCGCGCTGGGGATCCGAACCTGCGAACCCTGGGCTGCCGAAGCAGAGCATGCGAACTTAACCGCTGCGCCACTGTGCCGGCCCCCACATTAGCTACTTTTTAAGATTAATTTAAAAAAAGGATCGTTTCTAGATGGCCTCACACTCACCCTTCTGAACAGCTGAATTCTATTCGTGATCCGAAATAGAGATCTGTCTTACTTATTTGCCCATTATGTAATTCTCCTGGGTTTCTGCAGCGTTTCTCTGAGAGAAAAATTAAAATGATGATTAGTGATTCCAAGTACTCACAGATATGGCGTCAGAAAAGAAGACTGATTGATTAGCTTCAACCTCTGCTTCCAGAAAGACCCAGGGTTCAGATTCGAACTTATTTCTTATATTGACTCATTGAATTTTTATTTTGGAGGAAAAATGAATACAAAGTTTGCTCTCATCTTTTTCTGGTACTTTTTACCAGTAGAGAAAAATGCTCAGTTAAATCACTTTGGTAATGGAGTCTACAGTCCAGGATTTAAGACACTGACCAGGGAGCCACCTCCATTCTATGTCTGTGGCATGTACGTTGAACTTAGGCCGCTCAAAAATGCATGTCTTTGGTCATAAAGGGAATAGAAAAAGATTATAGATTGATACCTTACAACTGGAAAAACATCCTACAATGTATTCTCAACTGAGAGTTTGAATCATAGCATCTTCTTCCAACACAGCAGATATTTGGGTGAGGTTTCTTTGGAAACTGCATTACCACTTTCTAGCCACGTAACTTTTTATAATTTTGTAGAGAGGGAGTCTGGTTTTCAATATATTAAAATTGAATTTGTAGTTCATTTCTGAAAGAAATGTGTACTGAATTACATTGTAAAGGATAGACTTATTTTTCAATGCAATTAGGTAGCTCTTAATCTTTCTCTTTATTTATTTATTTGTATGTTTGTTTATGTTTTTCAAAAAGTGGCACACGTGTACATTGAAATCAGTAACTGACAAACTGGATGGTTTCTTAGTGACCACAGATTCTTATTTGCATTCAGAAAGCTTAGTTCCTAAGACAACTTGGCAAAGAAAGAAAATGCTCAAATAAGAAAAATAAATGTTGGGCCGGCCCCGTGGCTTAGCAGTTAAGTGCGCGCGCTCCGCTGCTGGTGGCCCGGGTTCGGATCCCGGGTGCACACCATTGCACCACTTCTCCGGCCATGCTGAGGCCGTGTCCCACGTACAGCAACTAGAAGGATGTGCAGCTATGACATACAACTATCTACTGGGGCTTTGGGGGGAAAAATAAATAAATAACATCTTTAAAAAAAAAGAAAAAGAAAAAGAAATGTTGATACTTACTGGTACAGAAGTTACTGTATTGCCACATGCCTCTGGGTTGACAGGTAATCTGAGTCCTTGAACTTATTTTACTGTAGCCAGGGCGGCAGGCGTATTTCAGAACAGTTCCAGTTTCAAAGTTTGTCTCGTTCAACTCATTTATTGGAGAAGCAAAGTATAGAGTGGGTGGGGGCCCGCAATCACCTGGACACCAACATGACAAAGAGCACTGAAGGTTACAGCCTGGACGCAGCGTCTTAGTGTTTCAGTAGCATGACTTTTACAGCAGGAACCGTTCTTTTTTCCTCTAATCAAGAAAAATAACAACTTCTATTAGCCCCACTGTTCAATGAATCCAGGGAGTGATCAGTAATCCATGTTTGTCGATAAATGATAATGATAAAAGGCAGAAATGTTTCTACTCTACTATCATATGAGATAACCTATCTTAAAAAGATGGCAGGCATGATTACATCAGCCTATTAGGTTCCTCATATCTTCTGAATCAGATGTATCTGGACAAAGCCAGAAGTCCCTACAATTTCCTTCAACAGAAACATCATTTCATTAATAATAACATTATGTATTGGCTGCCTCAGGGAAGGGAAACTGAAGGACTGGGAGATGGGCAAGTACAACGTCTTTAATTTGCACTTTTTTGCACCTTTTGGATTTTGAATGATACGAGGGAAGAAGCATGGAGCCCTTGAAATGTAAACATCTTAATCCTGCTTTCCTTGCAAGAATTAAAGATAGGACCAATTTACATTTTAGGAGCCCCAGGAGAAGTATACGCTTCCCTTCTCCATTCTGGGTAAAGCCACAGGCAGGGACAATTGTTCAGTCAGGCTGATAGATAATATGGATTTTTTCAATTCATGCTTGGGAGACTGATTGTTTTGGAAATTCCTGGAGAAGAAATTCTAGAGGGAAGTGTCTAGAAAACTGTCTCTTTTATGGGTAAAGCAAATCCCCCGAAGTTCCAAATAATTCTAAATCCCCTTATTTTCCAAGTTCCTGGTCAAATAAACTCTTTGTTGCTGAAGCCAGATTTCTGCTAAAAGCTTAGTCATCTCTTTGTTAGTCTTAAAAGTGAGTGAGCAGATGATCTTGTATGTTTGTTGCCAATCTGAACTTGTCTCCCCGTTACTCACCAAGAACAGTAGCCAATAGAGCAGTGACCATGGTCATTTGGAACAGAGTTGGATCAGAGACTCTCCACAGCCTGGAGAAGAGCCAGGCTGCCATTTTCTCCTTTCTATGAAGGGTCCCATTTGGAGCTCTTGGGGGTTGCATGACCTGATGCTTCTCCCACATTTTTCTGCTGAAAGAACTCAATTTAATAAACAGTCATTGAATTCCTACTTGTCATAAAGCACTAGGATAAATGGTATGGGATCCACTTCTTCAAGGATATTACAGCCTAAAGTGGAAGAAAAGACGTGCACAAATGTTACAACACAAGACAGTGAGTTTTAGCCTCTGTGGAAACATCCTGTTCAGGGAGAGATTAATTCCAAGTGGAGAGATGGGAGGTGGCTGTATCTGAGTTAGGTATGCTGTAAAAGTTAGAGAATGCATGCAGGGCAAATTGGGGGAACAGTAGATAATACCTCAGTTTGGCTGGAAAGTAAGGTGTCTGAGATGGGGATATGGTAGTTAAGGAGGGGGCAACCTATAGGTGTGTCTGAACGGGATGTCAGAGTCAAGTTTGGGAATTTACAGACACTACCCTTTGGGGAATAAAGAGCCATTGTTTTTTCGTTTGGGATTTTTTTTTTTTTTTTTTTTTTTTGGTGAGGAAGATCAGCCCTGAACTAACATCTGCCAATTCTCCTCTTTTTGCTGAGGAAGACTGGCCCTGGACTAACATCCATGCCCATCTTCCTCCACTTTATATGGCACGTCACCACAGCATGGCTTGACAAGCGGTGCGCGCCAGGCATCTGAACTGGCGAATCCTGGGCCGCCACAGCGGAGCGCGTGCACTTAACCGCTTGCACCACCGGGCCGGCCCCCTGGATTTTGTTTTTGGTTGTTCGTTTTTATGCTAAGGAATGACACATTATTGTGCTTTAGGAAGAACACCATGGCAGATGTGTACATGATAGTATGACGTGAACAGAGAGAAGAAAGAGGGAGGCTGATTAAGAGGACTATTGCAGTTGGCCAGGTGAGCCACAGTTAATATGTGACCAGGGAAATGGCAGAGGAGTTAGAAAAGAGGGAACAAATGTAAAACAAAACAAAACAAAAAGGCAGGAAAGTGATGAGTTAGAGAAAAGGAGTTGGACCCATATACATAGTTTTGGGAGTTCCTCATGGCAACCGTCAACCAAGGCAATCAACCATCATGCAATTTGCAGTTTTGAAAAAAGAGTTTTGTATATAGAGATGTACATGCATCTATATATGTAGATACATATAAATATATAAAGAAAAAGAACAATACATGTGACAAATGTTCCTTCATTATTTAATCAGATTATTTAAAGACTTATTTAAAGCAAAATCATGAGGGACATTTTTCTCTTCACCTCCACTCCCATTCTCTTTGGAAAAAATGGTATATCTTAAATTCACATTAGCAGGGGCCAGCCCGGTGGCGCAAGCGGTTAAGTGCGCACGTTCCGCTGCGGCGGCCCGGGGTTCGCCGGTTCGGATCCCGGGTGCACACTGACGCACCGCTTGTTAGGCCATGCTGTGGCGGCGTCCCATATAAAGTGGAAGAAGATGGGCATAGATGTTAGCCCAGGGCCAGTCTTCCTCAGCAAAAAAGAGGAGTATTGGCATTGGATGTTAGCTCAGGGCTGGTCCTCCTCACAAAAAAAAAAAAAAAAAAAAAAAAAAGAAATAGTCCTCATTCTCAGAGGAATATGTGAAAACTCCCAACGAAATATTGAATTTCATCTTTCATTCTGATACCTCTGTTAGATCCAACTGATTCTACATGCCCTATGTGTCCATAATTCATACTAAGCACACATCCATTTACATAAAGGGAGTCCCCTCAATATTTTCCTCAAAGATGTTTCTGTCCCACATTATAGGGGGGAAAAAAGTTTATAGTGGCCTTTCATGCTATGTGGAGGGGCATAACTTCTCCATTGATTAATGACCGATATAATCTTATCCTTCCAAAATTCAGCTCTGAGGAAGCCATTCCTCTACCTGCGGTCAGTTGTGAGCAACTCCATCTCACACATATCCTATCTCATGAGCTCTGCACATGGCTGCTAGGACAGTTCTGCCAAAAAATAAATTCAACCTAATGAAAAACTTATCAAATGTGTTCACATACTAAGAACATGTTTACAGAATTTGTACTAAATGAATGGAAGTGCTCTAAAGAGGTTGAGAGGAGCCAGGACCAGTGTTTTGGGCCTTCACATATCCCCTTTCATTTTTGTTTCCCCGTCTCTCTTTTCCTAGGCCCTCCTGGTCTCTAGTCTCTCCTCTGTCTGCTGGAGCGATCTGATGAGGCTGGAGGCAGCTGGGGGTGAGGCAAGTTCCACATGATGAGACCAGTCCACTAAGTCATCCACGAAATGTACCAAATATGATCAATTTCTCCCACCCAATAAAAACTGTTATGAACTATAAAAACTATAGGAATGAGTTTAATTTTTGTTAAGTCTGTAGATCTGGTATATTTATTGAATTTCAGTGAAATTGAAGAAAGAGATTTTAAAATACCAATATGTTGGCAAAACAGAATTTGAGTACAAAAAATCAAGAGGATAGTAGTGTAAAGTGCACATTTCCCATATGAATTGTTGCAGTTGTTATGATAGTCACAAGAAAAATACATACATTGAATATACTCGGGAAAATATTCATGAATATACTAATAAAAATACAGCCATAAGATTAAATCTTTACCTTTAATAAATTGAATAAAAATACTTAAAATGCTGCTACAAAGAACTTATTCACTAGCCATGTTCAAAAAGAATATATTTATAATCACTGAGTATATTCAAAATGAATATTTCTTAAAGCAATGTTCAGTAAATTGATAATTTGATAAATTCAGCAAATTGATTGCAGTGAACTGATCCTTCAAGAATCTGCTTCTGGTGATGAGGTTTTCAGAGTCAGGTCTGAGCCCCGTGCTCTGGCTGGACCTGCATCCCTGACAGTTCGAAACACTTTCTAGCTCCTGCCCCTGCCCATGTCATCTGCGCTCTCACCCTTCACTCTTCAATTCCTGCTCATTCTGTCGGTTTCTTCTCCAGTGCCCCCTCCCGTTCTCCAGGCCAGTCTCCATATTCTGGTTACAACCTAGATTCTGGCTTGGCTTCTCACTGACATCTGAGGTCTATCTTCCCCAAGACCACAAGGTCCTTGAGGTCACAGGGAAGGTCCTGATTCATCTCTGCCCTACATGGTACCTAGCACTGCCTCACACAGCTAAAGTGCTCCGTAAAAGCTTGCTGGATTTACATTAAAAAGCACCTAGTGATAAAATATGTTTTAAAGAAAAATAATACGGTTCCATGTCCACATCTCTCTTATAGTGTTCATTTTTATCAAAGTCAGATTTTAACTGATTTTAAAGCAAGGCACACTTGTATCTTGAGGAAAACAGACCCCAGCGATTTTGCTCTAGGCTCTTCCCCATCGTTAACCCTAAGTCATCATATCATCAACCATTCCACAGAGGACATTAAGGAGGGAAGCGGTAAAGAAAAACTAGTTCTCCTCTCTCCATAGCTTATGACAGGAGATAAAAGGCAGCCACACATACAGACCCTACACTGTGGTGAGGAATCTGTATCTCTCAGCCTCACACCGATGCCAAAGACACAGTGCTGGGGACACAGGACAACAATATGTGGCTAGGCTCCAGGGCATGGGCTCTGGAATCAGATCCAGGCCATCTGAGTTGAATCCTGTTTACACCTCATGGGATCTGTGTGCCCGTGGGCAAGATACTCAGCTCCTCTAAGCTCCTCTAAGCTTCAATTTCCTTTTTATAAAGTAAGAATGATAACTAGACATGTCTCTCGGAATCACTGAGAGGTAGCTTCGCTTGGTGCTTGGATGGCACATAGTAAACATTCAAAAGAAACGTTAGGGAAGAGAGTGATAGAATTGGTGCTGGAATGTGACTCTGACAGGACCAGAACTCCTAGAGTCACAACATCGACATAATAATGACATAAAATTATAGTGACGGCTGCATCCCTGAGGGACTTGAATGAAGCCCCGGCGCAGAGGAAAGCCCACTGGACTTGGGCCAGAAGCCCTTGGTCGGGTCTTCCCTGTGGCCCTTGGCGCTAGTGAGACCCAGTGCCCACCCTGAGCAGAGACTCTGGTGCCCACGGGGCTGTCCTCCCTCACCCTTCGCTGTTTTCCTGGGAAGAACTCATCAACTCCCATGGCTTTGACCATCATCCATGACTCACAGATCTCCAGGCCCAGTTATCTCCTGTAGGTGCAAAACTTACATGTTCCGGAAACTCAGTTGTTAATAAAAATCTTATTCTGCCCTATTTCGTCTCATATGTAAATTCTGAGTCATTCAGACCTGCCTCCTTTACACTTGTGGCTAACTGGTGGAATTCTAGTGCTTAGCCTTAAAACTGTGGATCTGTCTAAAAGCTGGTGAAAGAAATCTCAGCAAGATGAGGAGGAGATATTTTCTCTTCCCCTGCAGCTGCAGAAAAGGAGATATCTGCATCATAAAACTGACCTTGCAAATGTTATTTCTAACTAAGGAGTAGTTCCTGGACTTTAGAGATTATTGCTTTGCTACTTGAATGTGACATTTAACCCTAGAAAAGTCTATAATTCTGACTGGTTATCTTAGCAAATTGTTTTTTGTCTGGGATAATATTTAAGTTAACGTTTCTGTTTTTGAAAGTTAGAGACACTTGAGTTTTCTTTGCAAATCTGGAAATAAATTATTACACATTTGTCTTCACTTGCAATCCTGAAAGTCAAGTAAAACTTTTGGATCTGTTAGATTTCCTTTTTTTTAATTTCAGCTTTATTGGGGTATAAGTGACTAAATTTTAAGATATTTAAAGTGTACATCGTGGTAATTTGACACGCGTACACATTGTGAAAGGACTTCCTCTCACCATCTAGTTAATTAACGTATCCATCACTTCACGTATTTATCCTCTTTCTTTGGCAAGATTATTTAAGTTCTACTCTTTCAGCAAATTTCAATAATTCAATATGGGGTTATCAATATAGTCATCATGTTTTACATTAGATCCTCAAAACTTGTTCTTATAGCTGAAAGTTCGTACCCTTTTGCCAACCTCTGTTGACTTCTCTTACCACCACCCTGCACCTCCCCCCACCCACCACCCCTGGCAACCACTTGTTAGATTTCTTATTTAAGCAAAAACCTTCTTTAAAAAAATGTAAGTTATAATTTCCATTATAACTTAATCCCAGATCAGTATTTCCAGCTGCTTCATTTGTATCTCTCAGGCACTTGGAATCCAACATACCCCAAACTGAACGCGCTGTCTTCCTTCCAACACTACTTGACCTCTGTGTTTTGGCCTAGCTAAGCAAACAATCTCCACTCAGCTCCCTAGACTAGAAACCTGAGTCATCCTAGCCTCCTCTCTGATCCCTTTTCCATATTCAGTCACTAAGTCCTGTCACGTTGGCCATCGAAACACTAGCATCTGTCACTCTCCTACACCCCACTTCCATAGTCCAGGTTTAGGTTCTCATATTTCCCTTCACCCTACCCTAGACCACTGCAAAAGGTTCCAAACATTTTGTAAGCCGGCTTCCAGGTCGATGCTGTTATATTCCTAAAAAGGAATTTACTTAAAAAGAACAATGGTCCCCAAACCTCTCCCAACTCGCCCTCTGCTTCTGCTTACTTAAAGCGCTGAGCTTCAACCTCATGAAGGTGCTTACCCTTCCCAAAGCACATCCTGGAATTTTTTAAAATACCTGCAAGCATTTGCATATAATGTCTCTTGTGCATGAATGCTCTTACCTCCATCCTCCCCTTGATGCACTATCCAGTCAAATGTCACCTCCTTGGTGAAGAATTGCCCAATGCCACCAAGAAATATCAGTCTCTTCTATGCTCCCCTAGTATTTTGACAATAACTTAATTGTAACAGCACATTGTATGGTAACTATCTATTCACTTTTGCCTCCTAAAATACACTGTAGGTCCCTTGAAGACAAAACAGGTATGTATTCAACTTTCTAGTTCTAACCTCATATTGTAACTGGCATATAATAGTTATCCAATAAATGTGAAATAAATGAAACTCAATTTAGTTTTATCTTCAGAGTGAGAAGTACTAACTGCCTTACTGAGGACCAAATGAAATATTGTGTGGGAGGTGCTTTGTCAATTTTGAAGAGACGATACAGTGATTCAACTCTTTTTGCTAGTTCTCAGGATGTGTGGTGGTTCAGTGGGCCAGCTGTAGCATTTGCAGTTCACCATCACTACTCCCTGCGGTCCCCGAGCAGAACCTTCACAGGACTCGGAAGACCACATAGTATGGAGATGGAGGACAAGCCTTGTAAGTTGAGGAGACCTGAGTTTGAGTCAGCAGTATAGCAATCTAATTCTGTGATCTTGAAGAAGCTACATCAGCTCCTTGGATCTCAGTTTCTCGTCTCTAAAAGCATGACATTAAACTTAGGTCATCTTTCTATTCCCTACAAAGTCTAGAATTGTGTAACTGCCACTGAAAAGCTCAGACTTCCTTAGCAAATGCCCTCATATTTCAATGACATCATCACCTTTAAAATTCCTATAGAAATAAAACCAGCTCAAGAATTATAGTCACAATTTTTTTTTTTCATGAGAAAGATCAGCCCTGAGCTAACATCTATGCCAATCCTCCTCTTTTTGCTGAGGAAGACTGGCCCTGGGCTAACATCTATGCACATCTTCCTCCACTTTATGTGGGACGCCACCACAGCATGGTCTGACAAGTGGTGCATCGGTGTGCACCCGGGATCTGAATCCTGGCTGCCAGCCGCGGAGCACGCGCACCTAACCGCTATGCCATGGGGCTGGCCTCAAAAGGTCAGATTTTTTTTTTTTTTTTTTTTGCTGGGGAAGATTTGCCCTGAACTAACATCTGTGCCAATCTTCCTCTATTTTTTTGTTTTTTTGTGAGGAAGACCAGCCCTGAGCTAACATCTGATGCCAATCCTCCCCGTTTTTTGCTGAGGAAGATTGGCCCTGTGCTAACATCCATGCCCATCCTCCTCTACTTTATATGGGATGCTGCCACAGCATGGCTCGATAATCAAGAACTATAGTCAACATGGAGGGTCTCTTGTGACAATACTGTTGGCACTTGTCAGTGCAGTACACTTGGGGAGGCGCTGGGAAAATCCTCAGCCTCCAAATTTCTCCTTCCATTAGGCATTACTTTTAAGTTAGTGTATTTATTTTGTCTAAACTTCCCCTTTTAAAATTCAGATACCTCTGGAAAGGATAATATTTCTCTCCAGCCTCAGGTGGAGTGTCTCCTTGCTTACATGTGCACTTTCAACCACATCACTTTCAGACTCCAGAAAGAATTTGCTTCCACACTTTCCCCTCCCATCCTAGAACGTCTTTATCTCTCTATCAGCTCCTTCCTTCTGTGCTCATATTACATTCAAATGCATCTCTACACTTAATAGAAACCCTCGTTGATGCTTCCTCCTCTCCTGGATACTCTCCTTTTCATTCTCCTTGTACAAACTATGTTTAGAGACAGAACAGCGGTCAGCAAAGAGAAGAGTGGTTGAAGAATTGAAATGAGGACCAGAATGGTACTACGTCCTGCTCAACCAAGGGACAGGGGAGTTTCAAGAAGGAAGACTAATCAGCATTGCCAGATTCAGAAAGTGAGGGAGAGAAAGGAGCTGAGGACAGCAAAGGCTTCCAGCTTCGGAAACTAATTGGAGGCTGGTCAACATCCTTCTAATTATCAAATCTAATGCCAATGGTGGAGGAGATGTGAAGGGGTTAACAAAATCTCCAAAGGAAATTGCACCAATTTTCAGAATGCAGACTATGAAAACCAGGTCTCCTGTGAACCGCTTTGGGAAGTCTGGCTTACCTCCTGCCTCAGCTCCCCTATGTAGAGAGATGGTAAAGGATCGATGAAGCAATACACTCAACTTTTAGATAGAATAGCGAGAGCAGTGTCTTACTTCTTTCTGCTTCTCTTTATTTTATTAGTCTGCATTATTATTCCCCCATTTATAATAAAAAAAATTGAGGCTCAGAAGGAGTTAAAAGTACTCTTCAAGTCACACTACCTCCCACTGCAGAACTCCTGAAAAGATTTCTGCTGAAAACATCCCCAAGTTTTTGTCTTTGTTTTATCCTTCTAATCTTGCACTTCTTAAAGAGTCAAACCCCAGCTTTGCCCCTCAAGGTACCCCAAGTAATCCACTGACCTGCAGGGAGCTGAGGAAGAAGTAGCAGACTCTATCACGCTGCCTTGGGTAGTTTTTCAAGGAAGAAAACAGCCTTGATCTCCGATAGTCCTAGTTCCTCCCCAAATCAGAGCTTACTGGAATACCCTGAAGATAACTAGTAATTGCTCCACCAAAAAGTCCCTAACTTCCAGCCCTGTGGTTGGCTGGTCAGGGCTGGCTGAATGGAAATGGATGGGCAGAGACTCTCTACTGGCCCAGTGAATGATTAACAGCAGAAATAAAGCACCAGTGTTTACCTAATCTTCCTCTTCACTAGCCCTCATTCTTGATAACATGTTGCAATAGTTTTTCTCCTCTGCCAACCATTTCCCCTAAGTGAAATGGTAATATAAATTTGACGCCAGAATTCTTTTTCCTTTTCATAAACACAAGAGGGTTATACAAGATGCAATCCAGGGGCCGGCCCCGTGGCTTAGAGGTTAAGTGCGCATGCTCCGCTACTGGCGGCCGGGGTTGGGATCCTGGGCACGCACCGACGCCCCGCTTCTCCAGCCATGCTGAGGCCGTGTCCCACATACAGCAACTAGAAGGATGTGCAGCTATGACATACAACTATCTACTGGGGCTTTGGGGGAAAAAAGGGAAAAAAAGGAGGAGGATGGGCAATAGATGTTAGCTCAGAGCTGGTCTTCCTCAGCAAAAAGAGGAGGATTAGCACGGATGTTAGCTCAGGGATGATCTTCCTCACAAAAAAAAAAAAAAAAAAAAAGACGCAATCCAGCTAGCCTGGAAACCTTGGATCCTGCAGGGTTCAGTCTAGGTCCACAAAAAACAATCCACTTTCCGTGATGCTAGGTCCATCAGGCTTTCCTGGGGCTCAGGAACTGATGACCTTGCCCTGTGCTGGTCTCTATCCCGCCCCAAGAAAATACAAAAGGTGAGGAGTTTAACACATTTACTGAGTTCCTGCTCTGTGCTGAGCTTCCTGGGCTGTATAAATGTTAACGACCACCACCACCACTACTACTGCACACTGGGCACCAAATGACCTCCAGAAGGTGGTCTATCATTGAGAGTTGCTCAGAAGAACGCAATGATGGACTGGCCATGTTTGTTATCACATAGATCTAGGAAGGATCCCAAACCCTGACATTATCCAATTAAGCTATTAATCCTGAGGATTAAGGTTTATGTGCTCAGGAGATTGCTATTAAAGAGCAATTCTTGGGCCGGCCCATGGCTTAGCAGTTAAGTGTGCACGCTCCGCTACTGGCGGCCCGGGTTCGGATCCTGGGCGCGCACCAACGCACTGCTTCTCCGGCCATGCTGAGGCCGTGTCCCACATACAGCAACTAGAAGGATGTGCAACTATGACATACAGCTATCTCCTGGGGCTTTGGGGGAAAAGTAAGTAAATAAAATTAAAAAAAAAAAAGAGCAATTCTTCCTGAGAACTTCACTTTTTCTGTAATAAACACCAAAAGTCCCATAAAGTTTTCAGAAAAGGAGTTGAACCATAGCACAAGTTTTGACAGAAGATATGGGATTTGAGCTAGGCTGTGAATGAAAAGTGGAAATTATTAAACGAAAATGAGAAAGGTATTAGAGGTAAAGAGAACACGGGCCAAGTCACAAAGATGAGACTGATTGGCTGACTTGACAAGAAGGAGCGTAAAGGAGGATTCCAGATTGTGCAAAGTCTTAAGACCCAAGCTGAGGAAATACCACCACCAAGATCAAAGTTGGGTCTTCAAAATACCATTTCCCAATCTACTGGAGTCCTTTTCTTTACTTTCCACAGTGACTGTTTCAAATTTTTCTCTCCAGGTTGCCGTGTTGTCTTACTCTCAGTACATGATCTTGCCTCCTACTTTACTAAAAAAATCATTCTACATTAGCTTCTATCCACCTCAAATTTTCTCTCCTTATTCACTTCTGTTTCAGAAGAGATCTGTTTGTTCTTTTCCTTCCTTATTTTCCTTCTGAAATGTTCCCTCAATCTTGCCAAAATATCAAATTTCATTTTTCCTCTGTAATGAGAGGCTGAAGTTCTCAAAAGATTCCTTCTCATTAATCACTCCGTGCCCCTCCTGTTGTTGCCTTCCAATCTGGCTCCTTCCCACCCTGTTGACTTACCTCTCTGGGGCACACCTTTATCTCCAAATTCAAAATTTCTTTAACTCATCTCATGATTTCTCGGCAGCCTCTAACACTGCTAATCATTTCCTTCCTGAAACTAGCTTCTCCTTTGGCTTCCATTACCCTAATCCTTCCCGATTCCCTTATCTCACTAATTGCTCTTTCTTAGTTGTTACCACCTCTTCCTCCTTTTTTTTTTTTTTGTGAGGAAGATCGGCCCTGAGTTAACATCTGGCAATCCTTCTCTTTTTTGCTGAGGAAGACTGGCCGTGGGCTAACATCCATGCCCATCTTCCTCCACTTTATATGGGATGCCGCCACAGCATGGCTTGCCAAGCGGTGCGTCAGTGCGCGCCCGGGATCCGAACCCGCGAATCCCGGGCCACGGCAGCGGAGCGCGTGTACTTAACGGCTTGTGCCACTGGGCCGGCCCCTCTCTTCCTCCTTTTCATCCTTAGGTACAGATACATCTCAGGTTCTTCTTTTTTAAAATTTTCCCTTCACATCTTTGATTCTCTTACCTGCCCTCATGGCTTTAACTACTCCCTGTGAGAGAATTGCCTCATAACTACATTTTTATCTCTGACTGCTCTCCCCACCTCAGACTTACATTTTGGGTTGCCCATTAGATGTCTTATAAGCACCTTATGTTCAGCACACCCCAAGGGGAACTTCTCATTTCCTGCCCAGAAGCTTCACCTTCTGACTCTGACATTAACCCAGGCTCCCAGGAATGGAATTTCAGACTCACCTTTAAACCTTTCCCCTCCCTCATCCTCCAGTGTTCAATCAATCAGTTGACAAGTTGTTTTTATTTGATTTTGCAATGTCTCTCCTGTCTGCTGTTTCTTTTCTCTTTCTGCTGCCACCAAACCAGTTCAGGCCATCCTAGTTCCTCTGTCTCTTCCTCCTTCCACCTGTACTGCACACTGTTGTGGGAGGAATCTGCTGTGTTCTGTCCTTGCCACTTCCTTGCTTGAAAGTCTCCCATCTCTACTCACTGCCTGCCAAATAAAGTTTAAATTCTCTAACATGCCCTTTAAAACCCTCCATAAGCTGGCTTTAATGTGTCTTTCCAGCCTTGTCTCTCATCATTCCCATGCTTTATCCAGGCCAATCCAGGCTATGTGCTATTCCCTAGACATGCCCTGTCTTCCCTACCTCTGTGTAGCACCTTTATTTATTTATTTATTTTTAATTTTATTTATTTATTTTTTCCCCCAAAGCCTCAGTAGATAGTCATATGTCATAGCTGCACATCCTTCTAGTTGCTGTATGTGGGACGCGGCCTCAGCATGGCCGGAGAAGGGGTGCGTCGGTGCGCGCCCAGGATCCGAACCCAGGCCGCCAGCAGCGGAGCGCGCGCACTTAACCACTAAGCCACTGGGCTGGCCCTGTGTAGCACCTTTAAAAAAATTATTAAAAACTCAATTTAAAACATTAAAGAATTTTAAGAGAATAAACACCTGTAATTTCACCGTTCTAAAACAACTGTTTTCTTCTCTGCCTCGTATTGCCCAGTCCTTTTCTACAAGAATAAAGGTTTTAAATAAATGCTATCATAAGTACTTGTTATTCTGTATTCTATTTTTATTTAAACATATTTTTAAGATTTTCTGGTCATAGTTATCACTGTAAAAGGCTGCACTGCATATGATGTACCATAATTTATTAAACATTTTCCTAAGATTGGATATTACAAATGTTCACAAGGTCTTGCTAGTATATAATGAATAGCTTCAAATCACAATTATTTTGCTCCAGTTAGATTAATCCTAGGAGTGGATTTACTAGGTTAAAATGTTTGTGACTCTCTTACTATGTTTCTCAAATCTTTTTTCCACTTGGAATGTCCTTCTCCCTAATCTTTGTCTCTAAATCCTACTCACTTTCAAAGGCCCAAATAACTGGGACCCCTTTCTTGACAGTTTTCCTGCCTCCTCCTCCTCCCAGACAGAAGTCATCCTCCTCACATCTGCGCTCCCATAACACGCTGTTCAGTGCAAGATGTTTATTTCATTCTAATCACCCCGAATTAATGGTATGTACATACATGTCTGTGTCTATTAACAGACTGGGCTACTTGAGAGTCCATTTCTTTTTTATTTTTTTATTTTTTTATTTTTTTGTGAGGAAGATCAGCCCTGAGCTAACATCCATGCTAATCTTCCTCTTTTTGCTGAGGAAGACCGAATCTGAGCTAACATCTATTGCCAATCCTCCTCCTTTTTGTCTCCCCAAAGCCCCAGTAGATAGTTGCATGTCGTAGTTGCACATCCCTCCAGTTGCTGTATGTGGGACGCGGCCTCAGCATGGCCGGAGAAGTGGTGCGTCGGTGCGCGCCCGGGATCCGAACCCGGGCCGCCAGTAGCGAAGCGCGCGCACTTAACCACTAAGCCATGGGCCCAGCCCCGAGAGTCCATTTCTTATTCTCCTTCATAACTTCGTCTAGAGACTTTCCATTATTTCAAGCTCTCCTATGTATTTTGCCCAGATTTCCTGTGTTTTGAGTAGAAGTCAGAGTGAGAGATGGGGGGCAGCTTTTCATAGCAGCTCACTATGACATCTTGACAGGAAAACCTTAGGATTCTTGTTTCTTCCGCCCTCTAAAAAAGGAGAAAAAAATATATTCACTTGTGTTGCACCATCTCAAATTTACCATGCAGGGCTGGGTTTCACCCAAAAGGCAGTAAGCAACATTACTGCAGGAGATTTGGAAACCTGGTTTCATAAACAGGATGTAGGGGACACCCAGGAGAGAATTTGGGTGCAAATTCTACTTTTGTCTCAATAGGTCGTTCTAAGAATACAACTGTTTTGTGCCTATTTTCCCAAAAGGAGAGGCTAATTTTTGCGTTATAAGTTTTGGTGGACTTGAGGTTAATTTTTGCCTTATCATTCATGTATCATATTAAAATATGAGGCACAACCTTAGCTGTAATTTGAGCTTCCCACCATCCTTAAAGACAGGAAATTAAACCCTTCACTCTCCCTTAATGTGTTGCTAATTCTGGTCTTAGACAACCATCACACCTGGTCTTTCCACATTCTGAGTGCAACACACGCACGCATGCACACACACACAGTGCATTATACAACTGCAGCTGGTTCCTATGAAGTTGCATTTCAGTCCAATGAGAGAAAAACCTGAAACCAATTTCAGAACCAAGAGAAAAATTTATTCATATGTGTATTTCTATTACCTAGTCTGCTTAGTTACAATGTCAGGGTAACATTTTTGCTGCCAACTCAGCTTTCTTCATTTCCAGAGAATATTTTAGTTCCTCCATTGTTAAGCCATTTTCCTGTAATCTTTGCATAAATTTCTTTACAGCTTTGCAAACTTCCTCACTCTCCTGAAAGTCAAACTGTAGAAAGAAAAAAATTTTTAAGTTACAACTTAAGAACTGAGACGCAGCTGTATACTCTGAGGCCAGTGGGTAGTGCTTAGGTCCCTGAATGGGGCTCAGAACCAGCCTGGCTTAAGTAGAGGCCAGAGTCTTCAACATGATGAGTCACTTAAATTTTCTAGCTTAAATATACTTATTATTATCCCAGTAATAAACATAAACTAAAAGAGGAGTCTCCATGAAAATTGATCTAGTCAGTGCTTTTTGGAGTCTAGAAGAATTTTAGAGATGTTTCACAGCAATACTTTTAAGTCTAAGATATGAGTTTATGCACCTTGCTGTGTAAAGTACACGAGACAGTAACTCCTACCAACAGGGCCTCATGAGGTAATTGTGACGATAGTGGCAAATGGGAACTTCCATTTGTAAAAATGTGAGTTAATTGTTTATGAGCCCCATTCTACAATCAGGCCAAGGCCAATGCATTCAAAGACATCCCAGATTGAACAGATATCTACTGAGTATGTGCCAAGAGCAATGCCAGGCCCTGGGGATACAGCCGTGAACAAGATATACTTGTGCTACTTACAAGCGCCTTCTCACACTCAGTCTGTGGAGCTGGTGTGGGAGCTTCTTGGATCAGCTCACAGACTGGAATTGCACTGCTCCACTCCCCATCAATGCACTGTTGGTGCTGCGTGCCCACTAAGTGGTACCTGAACAGAAATTAGAATGGCAGCAACGCTCAGTCTTTCCACCTTCTGAACTGGCAGCTAAGGCTGGTTTTGTGTAGTTGTATTCAGTATTTCATACTGTGATAGAATCCCTGCCTGAGCCTGAATGCATGTGTAAGTTATCTCAGTGTTACAAAACAGTAATAAAGTAAAACCACTCTCCCGGGGTTGGAGGGGACTCAAGCAAAGAGTCAACCCATAAAACATGGAGAAGTTAGAAATTCTGAATATGTGTGTTTATGCACACTGTTTTTGGGTGGGGAGGGTGAGCGAAGAAGTACTTCATCATTCAGTAACTTAAAAAAAGCATCTGTCATCTATGCTCTAAAAAGGAGAAAGCTAGAGATGGCCTTCAAATAAATCTTAGAGAACTAGCTAAAAAGGAGCTGCAGATTTTAATATGAAAAACATGAGAGTTGACTGCCAAGTCTGTTGGAGGTATATAATAAGACTGAAATGCCAGTGAGGCCACGTGACTCTGAGTTAATAAGATTGAGGCAAGAAAAAAAAGAAAAGGCTAGGAGATCTGTGAGGTGGGTGACCAGGCAGTCTAAATTAAGGTTAGACTTTAAATAGGGTGGTTTTAAGGATCTATACTCTAAATTCTTCTATTTCTACACTTCCACATGTTCTGTATTTCTTTGAGTTTTTTGTTCTGAAATTCTTTAGAAAAACATACATTGTTAATATTTTATCTTGTCTTAACTAACAGAAAAAAATGATATTGTAATTAGGACAAATATGAGGATCAGTCTTCTTCTAGGGATAGTGGAGAGCTGGCAGTGGGCTAAAGCACCTTTAGAAATCAAAATGAGCTCAGAATCCTGAAGCAGGAGGAAACCAGCAGACTAAGTTGAGACAGACTGGGTCACTCCCAAAAACAATGGTACCAGTCAATGGGCAAGATCTTGTATTTGAAAGGCTGCATACACTTACTTCTCTTCACAGTAGTAAGTAATGGTAGATCCTGAGCTGAAATCTCCTCCTTCAAAATAGCCATGAGCTGGATTCCCAGGAGGGCCACAGTGTCCTGAGAGACAGAAGTATAGGTGTGACAGTTGTGAAGTCTGGTTATGCTCAATTAACAGCACCCCTAAGTGCAACTGGCTATGCCAGCACCGTCTTCACAGCAGCACATGTGGGATCTGGGGACATGTTCTCTGTTCATTTCCTTCTGGTCAAAATCATATTTGTCCATGGGAAAGACCCTCTCCCCTAGCTCATTCTGTGAGTCATTAGTGATTTGAGAGTACTTTCTGATTGGCAGGAGCTTGAGGAAAGGAAGTTTAAGTTGTAGAGATGCTAATTGTCAGTGTACAAAAAGAGAAAAATTAGACCATAGGTAGAGGTGGAAGGAGTAACTCCCTGAGACAGGCGATAAGTAGTGTGAGCTCAAATGGAGGCTGACATCACCTGTGGGACAGGGTTGTGCAATGTGACCGCTTCAGAAAAAAGGAGAAGGATGGGAGGAGAGAGGATGAGTCTGTAAAATTGTGGAAAGAGACTTGGATGAGGTACTAGATGTTGTGAGTGTTGGTTCTGCCTCTTCCACTAACCACACGGCAGTGAAGCAGCCATTTCCTCCTTCCCAGCTTCCTCCCCAACCTATAAGACGAGCAGGTTAATAATAGTATCCCTAAGGTCCCTATCCGCTCTGAGATTATTTGAGTCTAAACATGTTGATCGAGATTTAGGGCTAAATTAAGAATAATTATGTAGATGTATATTCATTGAAACATAAAGTTCTTCAAAACAAATAGTTGAGTAAAAACAGCCAAGCACGGAAGAGTATGTATAATACTATTTCTGTAAAACATAGTTATATACAAACTACATATGAACAGAAAACAAAAAAGCCTGAAAAATTATATATCAAGGTACTCTCTTATCCCTGGGTGGTAGGTTTGTAGGTAATTAAATGTTTTCTTCTTTTATTTTCTGTATTTTTCTACAACAGAGATGTATTACTTGAGCAGTTAATAAATAACTTTTAAAAGGTCAAAAACTGAGTTCAAAAGCTGTATAGAGGACAGAAAAAAAGAACTTGACTGAGTTGATTAAAGAACTCCAGTTTAGACAGGGTTCTTCTGGTGACTTTTAAGAGTACAGTTTTGAACTGAAGGAGATGACGTGGGTCTTGGGTCTAAACAGAAGAGAATCTGCTTTATTTAGGAACCTAGGGAGCTTCCCCTAGAATTGAGCAATGAACTAGCACTAAAAGACAGAGATCCTGCATTTTTGAGCTAGGATAGGAACTATTGAATTAAAGGAGAGTAAAATAGAAAAGGCCTGGAAGAAATAAAAAACCTGTGTCAAGCTAATGATGTAAATGATATTATATGCTTGTAATTTAACTGCATATAGTATATACCTATGTTTTAAGTAACCCCAAACTCTCTAAATAAGAATATATATAGTTTGTGATTTTGAACTGTATGTCTATTTATTATTTTAATGCTACTGCCAAAATACATCTGAAGAGTGATATCACTTTCTGTCACTGACATAAGCAGCTCTCATAATCTCTCATATCCTGAAAGATATTAGATGAAGTAGATTTTTTAATTTTTTGCTAATCTGATTAGCAAAGAATTTGTATGTAATTTTAATAACCACTTCCGTAACTATTAGTAACATTCAATATCCTTTCATAAATTTGAGGAATATAAATGCTGTTTGGGGCTGATTTTGGAATTGTCCATCCTGAAAATTTGCCATTTTTCTATTGGGTTGTCTATTCCTTACTGATTTTAGGGGGTCTTTGTATATTAGAAATATTAACTTTTTAGCCATCAAATATGTTGCAAATATTTTCTTCAAGTCTATTATTATCTTTTAGTTTTTATGATGTCCTTTAATATGTAGAAGCTTGACTTTTAAAATTTAGTTGAATCTGTCCATCTTCTTCTTTTATGACTTCGGGTTTTATGTTACCGCTTCCAGGAAGACTTTCCCCATTCCAAGATAACAAACATATTTTCTTACATTTTCTTTAAGAATGTAGTAATTTTGCTTTTTACCTTTATATATTTAAATTCATTTGGAATTTATTTTTGGTAAGGTATGGGTAGAGTTCTTTGTTTTTTTCTAAATAGATAATTATCCCATTACCACTGAATACAGACTTTCCCCACTAATTTAAAATAAACTGTTTTACTTTTCTGTGTCAGTACTTAGCTATTTTAATGGCATATTAATTATAGTATCTACAATTTGCCATTTTAATGCTATTTCACTTATAGTAACTTTGCTGTAATCTTACTATCTGATAAAGTGTCTCCTTCCCCTTAATTCAGCCAAATATATACATTACTCATCATTTTCCAAAAAATAAATTTACAGGATGTCCCCTTTCACCACTCCTTTCAACATAGTACTGAGAGTTCTTGTTAATGGAATAAGGCAAGAAAGGGAAATAAAAGGTATATATATTGGATATTGGGAAGGAAGACATAAAACTGTCTTTGTTCACAGATGACATGATTGTCTATGTATAAAATCCAAAAGAATCAACAAAAATATCTCCTGAAATTAATAAGTGATTATAGTAAGGTTGCAGGATACAAGATTAATATATAGAAGTCAATTGCTTTCCCATATACCAACAATGGAATTTGAAATTAAAAATACAATACCATTTACATTAGCACCCAAGGAAAATTAAATACTTAGGTATAAATCTAACAAAATATATAGAAGATCTATATGAGGAAAACTCTAAAACTCTGATGAACAAAATCAAAGAAAAACTAGATAGAGAATTATTCCATGTTCATGGATAGGAAGACTCAATATTGTCAAGATGTCAGCTCTTCCCAATTTGATCCATATTGAATCTTCAATGCAATCTCAATCAAAATCTCAGCAACTTATTTTATGGATATCTACAAAAAAGTATATTTGGAGAGGCAAAAGACCCAGAAGAGCTAACACAACATTGAAGGAGAAGAACAAAGTTGGAAGACTAACACTACCCGACTTCAAGACTTACTATAAAGCTACAGTAGTCAAGACAGTGTGGTATTGGTGAAATAATAAACAAATAGATCAATGGAACAGAATAGAGAGCCCAGAAACAGACTCAGATAAATATAGTCAATTGACCTTTGACAAAGGAGCAAAGGCAATACAATGGAGCAAAGATAGTTTCTTCAACAATTGATGCTGGAACAACTGGACATCCACATGCAAAAAGGTGAATCTGAACACAGACCAAACACCTTTCACAAAGATTAAATCAAAATGGATCACAGACTTAAATGTAAAATACAAAACTATAAAATTCCTAGAAGATAACATAGGAGAAAACCTTGATGACCTTAGATACGGTGATGCATTTTTAGATACAACACTAAAGACATGATCCATGAAAAAAAAACTGATCAGCTGGAATTCATTAAAATTAAAAACTTTTGTGCTGTGAAAGACATATCAAGAGAATTAGAAGACGACCCACAGACTAGAAGAAAATATTCGCAAAAGACACATTTGATAAAGAATTGTTATCCAAAATATACAAAGAACTCTTAAAACTCAACAATAAGAAAGCAACCAAATTAAAAAATGGGCCAAAGACCTTAACGGACACCTCACCAAAGAAGATATACAGATGGCAAATAAGGATATGAAAAGATGATCCACATCATATGTCACCAGGGAAATGCAAATTAAAACAACAATGAGATGCCACTACACATCTGTTAGAATGTCCAACATCTGGAACATTGACAACACCATATGCTGATAAGGATGTGGAGCAGCAGGAACTCTCATACACTGCTGGTGGGAGTGCAAAATGGTGCAGCCCTTTTGGAAAACAGTTTGGCAGTTTCTCACAAAACTAAACATACTCTTACCATATGATCCAGCAATTGCGCTCCTGGGTATTTACCCAAAGGAGCTGAAAACTTATGTCCACACAAAACCTTCACACAATGTGTATAGCAGCTTTAATCATAATTGCCAAAACTTGGAAGCAACCAAGAGGTCCTTCAGAAGGTGAATGGATAAATGAACTGTGGTACACCCAGAAATGGTATTCAATGATAAAAACAAATGAGCTATCAAGCCATGAAAAGACATGGAGGAAACTTAAATGCATATTACTAAGTGAAAGAAGCCAATCTGAAAAGGCTACATACTGTATGATTCCAAGTATATGACATTCTGGAAAAGGCAAAACTATGGAGACAGTAAAAAGATCAATGGTGGGGGTGGGGGTGGGGAGCAGAGAGATGAATAAGCAGAGCACAGAGAATTTTTAGGGCAGTGCAAATACTCTGTATGACATTATAATGATGGATATATGTCATTATACATATGTCCAAACCCATTGAACGTACAACACCAAGAGTGAACCCTAAGATAAACTACAGACTTTGGGTGATTATGATGTGTCAGTGTTGGTTCATCTTTGGTAAAAAACGTACAGTCTTGGTGAGTGATGTTGATAATGGGGGAGGCTATGCATGTGTGGGGGTAGGAGGTATATGGGAAATCTCTACCTTCCTCTCAGTTTTATTGTAAACCTAAAACTGCTCTAAAAAAATAATCTTTAAATAGATAAATAAATTTGCAATATCAGATATGTACCATTCCAAATGAGATTTTAAAATTAATTTTTTGTTTCATATTTTTTAATTTAAAATTATGGTTAGGATTGCATTGTAATACCAAGTCTGCCCATCCAGGATAATCGCATATCTTTTCTTTTACTCAAGTCTTATTTTTTGTCCCTCAGTAGATTTTCATACAGGTCTCATGAATGGAATTATTTTTACATTTCAATATTCATATAATAATTATTACTAAAAAGTAAAACTATCAACTTTTTAATATTTATTTTGTATCCTAGAATGAATTTTTAGTAGAAGTTTTTAATCTTTTAAGTATATTTTGCAAATAATGATATCCTGTGACCTACCAATCATTCTAGGAATCCACACTATAGAAATAACAGCATAGACACAAAGATATATGCTTGTGTACACAGATATATGATAACATTCATTTCAGCATTGTTTATAATAGCAAAAATATGAAAATAAAATGTGTTCATCAATATGAGAGATGTGGAATAAATTATAGCATATCCATGTGCAGTTATTAAAAAGCAGGAGATAGAACTATATACACTAATCTGAAAAAGATTCTCATGTATATTATACATGAAAAAAGCAATTAAAAATATATAGCAAAGTTTTATTTTTGTAGGTATATATGTGTGTAGGTGTGTATGTGTGTGCATTTCAACTCATTTCATTTAATTTTGCAATGGATGAGTTGTGGGTTTTTTTTTTTTTCCTGTTTGTGTATTTTGCAAATAAAAACTTTAAGTCACTATCTTGGAATTAAAAAAAAAAATAGTCACATGCCCCAAACTACCCAATTTGGACCTAGTAGGACAGGAATCCTACTTGAGAAAAGACAAAAGTGCTGTTCGTTTTGTTGGCATACGTCACTTGAGTCGAGGCTTGGCTCTGTGAGCTCCACTTGCTTCTTGGCTACACACTAGATCTTAAGCCCTTCCCAGATACAGAAAAGAGGAAAGCATCACAGGGATGCGGTGAATGCCGAGGGTGTCACTGCTGATAAGTATCTTCGGGATTTGTGCTTGTTTTTCTTATACTTAACTGCTTTTGCAGACGGGAAAGGGTGGCACCCAGGTGTGGTCCTCCAGGCACTGGCTCCAACTGCTGCCCTTGAGGATGTAGTGCTCATTGCACTTAAATGTGATGTTGTCATTCACACTCACAGGCCCCAAGGAACTGAACTCACCATTCGCCAGCACAGGGTTGGGACAGTGGCCGACTGAAGAAGGAAACAGGCAGTGATCTGAAAAGACTAGGCTGAAGCCCACCACAGCAATGGCTACACCTCCTCAGGCTTCGCTGAGAAAACAGGAAATTAGAGCTAAAACTGCAGTTTTTAATAGTGTCTGGTAACGGGTACCAAACTGCAGCAACGCAGGATAAGAAAAGACTGGGTTGGCCTAAGTGTGGCAGAAAAGGTCTTGGTTACACACAAGAGTGACAACTGGCACTTGAACTTACTAAAGGTAATTAAGCATAACTGGAAATTACCAAGAGCATGTTCATCATCCTGTTATGTTAAGCATTGCTCAAAATTCTTGAGCCTATGTTTGAGGCAAGTATTTCCTTCCCTTTCATCCAGCCAAATATATACGTTACTCATCATTTTTTGCTTTGTTTTGTTTTGTTTTTCCCAGTTGGAAAACTAGGAGAGAATGCAGAAGGATGCGAATTTGGTCATATGAATAAAAAATAAACATATTGGTGTGCTTTACTCTAGGTATAAAGGAAAACTAATCCAACTATTCCTAAAAATAGTGATAATAAAGAAGATATGGACTAATTATTCTCCATCTCTATAGATATCACAAATGTTTTGTGAACTTGAGCAAAATACTTGGACCTCAGTTATCACATTTGTAAACTGAGAACATAAATTTTTCCCAGTTCAAAACTTAGATGATGGACGAAATAAAATGATATGATATATTTACTTCAAAGTAATAATAATGTAAAGCAGAATTATAGGTGAAAAAAAGATTAGTGATGTGTTGATAATTGTTGAAGCTGGGTGATGAGTACATATGAGTTCATTTTACTTTTCTGTCTTTTTTGTATATGTTTAAAATTTTTCATAATATAAAAATTTTAAAGCAGTATGATATTAAATAAATTAGAGCCAAAAAAAGTAATTTTAATATATGGAAGATATTTTTCCTTCTTATAGGGGTGATTGAGTCTATTCAATTAAATTAATACTGATCAAGAGCTGATCATGTGCCTTCTAAAAGAACTTCCACCACTAGAGAGCTTTAAAAATGGATGCCTGGAAGTTGAGAATTTCTTTTTTATAAAGTTTGAGCATGGCCTACTGGAGATAGGACGTGAAAGAACACAGTGGGCTGATGAGATGGACAAGAAGCAGAAAGACCAAACCTACAGCGGCACTCGGGAGGGGAGCCATTCCACTCCAGAGAGGCGTTGCAGAAAAGGGTTTTCTCTCCTACCAGGTGGTAGCCCTGGATACACAAGTAAGTCCCCAGGATTTTTCCTTCCATCTTGTTTGCAACAAATATGCTATTGTCCACTGGGGGAAGTTCTGGACAGCTCTCTGCTGGAAGGAAAAAGAAAACAGATTCACTTGGCATATCATGTGCTGTGAGGAAGCCCTTATCAGATTCCCCCTCCAAGTGTATTTTGTTGGATGATTGATTCTGATTCCTCGTACTCTTCCAGGTCCAGGCCCTTCCACATTCCTCCCTTCCCAAGGATTCCCAAAGTTTTGTTTTCAAAAGGATAACAGCAATTTCACTCAAATTCAGCCATAAGTTTTCATTCCTAAAGAAAAAAATCCCCTTGCCAAATAGCAGTCCTGGAGCTTATAACAGATAAGACCTCTCGAGATTTTGAAATTGGTACTTTTTTTGCTCCCAGAACAGAAGGGGAAAGTTAACAGATAACCACCCACTTCATAGAGCAGAATCATCAATAAATATTTACTAAGCCCCTATTGAGTACAGATCATTTGGCTAAGTAATTTGAGATTTTTCTAAAAAGGAAATACATTTCATTAATTTAAATTTCATTATGATCCTAGACAGAATACCTCATAACCCACAAACCGATATCAAGTGCCTTGTAAACTGAGCTTAGGAAAAGCATACATACCATCTGAGGCAGAAACCAGCCACACAACCACAAGACAGCACGCAAACCGAGAAAACATCTTGTGATCCATTGCTTGACCCAGGTTACAATTAACCCAGCCCAGATGCCTGGTTTGGATTAAAATAGATCTTCTAACACTGCTTAAGATCAGACCAACCACTTCCCTCCTATGGAAGGGTTGTATTGATTTCCCTTCTCTGGAAATGAAAAAAAATCCTACAACAGGAAACAAGAACAGCTGTAAGGAAGTTGGTACAGGGAGGGGCTTCTCAAAAACACAAAGAGCTGGTAAAAGAGCTGCCAGTTTTAAAACTCAGTTTTAGAAATTGCCCAGGTTCTGTTCATGCAAATCCAGTGGACCAGTCCCTTTGAACTGCAGGCTTGTCCTTCCACGACAGACTTGGGCCAAAGGGTCTTGCCACGACCTTCACTCTGTCAATATTTGCTGGTGTTTACAGTCCACCTTCTGCAACTCTTTCCAGTACTGCAGAGACAGAGGGTGCCAATCCCTGGCGCTTTCCCAAGTCAATCCCCACTCTGGGTGCCACCTCCTCTCCCTTTCTCAGATATCAGATATCTGAAGGCTGTAAGCAGCACTGAAAACTGAAAGCTTAAGAAGTAAACTAACCTTGCCTGTCTCTGACCTTCCAGATTTATAGCTTCCCAGCAAGGAGCCAGTCCTGACTGACTCCAAACTGGAGAGGAACTCCCAAGTCCTGCAGTGACACATTGTCCTCGTGTGCCAGGCCTGCACCACGCTTCCCATTCTGCGGGCCTTCCTGGGGCAGGATTTGGCCTGAGTCCAGAATCAACCAAATGAACTAAGAGAGAGATGAGGGGAATGCTTTGGTCTCAGGAATTAAAGCATTAAAAGTTGCTTTTAGGCTCCCATAGCTTCTTGTTCATGACTGTTACAGTAATTAGCTGGTTGTCCATGCTCCAGTTATAAAATGGGGGTAGAATTCCTATAAAATTTTAGGTTTTAATAAAATAATATTTTGTTCATGTCTTTCTCCCACACTAGACTGTTAACAGCTTTATTTTCAGGGATTATGTCTCATTTGGGTTTGTATTCCCCTCCTCTGCACTCCATAATGCAAAGCAGAATTGTCTGCTAAACAAATAAAAGCAAAGTAGGTAAATGAAAAGAACACAGTCACCCAGAAACTCTACCACAGCCGCTCAAACCCATATTGACAATTTATCAATCATTGTACACTGTGTTTATGGTTTTTCCATATCTTATCTTTGCTCAACTAATATGTGAGCACCTATACTGCAAGCACCTTTTAAAGTATAATTTTCAAAAAGTTAATAATAGGGCACTCATGTAAATATAAAATGAATATGTGTCAAAGATTTTACTCAACTCATTAATTAATGAGGGAACCATTAAGATGCTATAACTAATTCAAAGAAGAATTTGAGGAACAGCGATTTATACAGTCAGTCAGTCAAAGGCGTTCTGAAATGACATTCCTAATGATGCAAAACTGCTTAATACCATACGGGGCAACAAACTGTAATATTTGGAATCAGCTTTTCTAACTGATGGAAATTAACTGAATCTACGCTGGACAAAATTCATTTGCTTTGCTATGATCAGGAATTATTTGCATTGTTCTCAGAAAAGAATCATTTGCATTCCTATCCATTCTCCACAAATTAACTTCTACTTTTACCAAGTTGTAAAAAAGCCGAGTTAACAGAAAGTCAATCAAAATTATACACCCACAGGGAATCAATAATCCCAAGAGGGTCTGCTAAACAATACTCAATAATCCACTGGAAAATTTCTCCAGTGATCTCTTTTTGCCTGTGTCCAAATTTTGAGTAATTTTTTTTAACACAGCACATATTCTACTTCCTGAGGAACACATGTTCCTCAGTATCTAATGTGCATGGTGTTTGTATAATAAATAATAAAAAAAGTGAAAGACAATTTTGTTTATTCCTACATAAACATGGGCACAAAATACAGCATTATTACAGGAAATAATTGCAAATAATTCTTCGTCTCAATGGCTTATTTCAAATTCAGAATTGTTAGGACTTTAGAAAGGTACTACATTGATTATAATATTGTCTTACTAATATTTCTCCCTTAAATGTAAAAATATTCACACTAAGTGGGATAGAGACTATAACAATCCTCATAAAGTTCAGGTTAGGTTTTGCCGTCAAATAAATTAGAAGAAAACTTTGGTTTCAAAGCTTTTTGGAACTACATATAAAGGATTATAGGACTATATATTTAATATATTATAGATTATAATACATATAGGACTATATATTATTATGAGTGTCCAAGGTTGGATAAATTAATAAATTATAATAAGATAATAAATTTGCAGGTTCTTCTAGATCTATGAACATTAAGGACAATTTGATCTAATCCAGATTGCTTTCTGGAGATCTAGGGTAATAGGTCAGGTGCAGAAATTGTACTCAGAGTGGTTTGATTGCTTTACAAAAGAATAGGTAGACAGTTATTAGTGGAAGAGATCAGGAGGTGAGGGAGGAGGGTAGAAATACCAAAGTCAGCAATGCCTAGGCTGGGGGAAGAGCTGCGGGCAGTTAAAAAGGGTGCACACAATGTTGGGTGGTTGTGAGATTTTAAGAGAACTAGGAAAGATGATTTTAGAAAGTTCTACAGGGGGCTGCCCTGTGGCGTAGAGGTTAAGTGCGCGCGCTCCGCTGCTGGCGGCCCGGGTTTGGATCCTGGGCGCGCACCGATGCACCGCTCGTCAAGCCATGCTTTGGCGGCGTCCCATTTCAGTAGAGGAAGATGTGCACAGATGTTAGCCCAGGGCTAATCTTCCTCAGCAAAAAGAGGATTGGCATGGATATTAGCTCAGGGCTGATCTTCATCACAAAAAAAAAAAAAATTCTACAGGACGTTATGAATGGATTTTCTTTGGTCTTCGTCAAGATAATTCAGAAAAGATTTAAATTGCTTCGTCAGTTATTTTTTGTATATTAAGTTGATGTTTCTTGAATACCTCACCAAGGAAAACCAGGGCCAGAACAGTAGCCTTTATGCAGATTACCTGGGAATAAAACTAATATACATTTTTAAAAGGTCAAATTGTTCACAAAACATTGTAGAATAAGCTTTGATTGTGAGTCAATAGTGACACGCACTATGGCAAGTCAGACTGGATGAATGAAAAATACTCTCTTTAAGTGATGGCAGCATAACTCTACAAAGACAACTGCTCACCTGTTAGATCCCTTCAGACTTGCTATGAAGTCCATATTACCTACTGAAGCAGATTGCTATTCATTCCCAGAATCCATTCCATCCTTCTTCTTTAGTAATTAAACCCCAATTATAGCCGGCACAAGGCCACCTGGAATTAAAAAAAATACATTTCCAGCCTGCCTTGCAGCTACATATAGCCCATTTGACTAAGTTTTGGCCAATGGGATATGAGCATTAGTGTTGTGTACAAAATCTAGAAAATATCCTTAAAAACAAATTGGTGTACCGTTTTTGCTCCTTCCTTCTGACTGGAATGTAGACACGATTCCTGTGGTTTGAGCACCTATATTGCACTATGAGGTAGAATGCAACGTATTTTGAGGATGATGAGTTAACATGACAGAAGGATCTGAGTCCTTGGTGATTGAGGGAGCTCCATTCCACTCCTAAGCTGCTTATGTCCACACTTCATTGTAGCTGAGAGTGACCTTCTGTCATACATAAGGTGCTGTCATTTTGGGTTTGCTGACATCTTAAACTGAAACCAACTCTAATCTGAAACACTGATGAATGTAAGAAGATAAAGGTCAACTAGTGTCTGAGTGAAATGACCCAGGAATTTAAATTCAGAAAAACAAAATTTAATAGACCTTATTAAATTGTACCCTGATACTGTTTCTCATCCCATCCATAAATTTTAAAAAGGCAATGGATGAAAGAGAAGAGAGAAAGTGAAGTGAAAACTGAATGTAAACAATAAAGTAAGCAGATCATTAATAAAGAAAACCCAATGGATAAACAAGCTATTCTCTGAAAGTAGGCAGGATGCTTGGTGAAGGACATTACACTTTTTGAGGCTAGGCCCCATTAGAAATGTTGCTTCCCAAGGGTTCCTGTTGTTAAAAAAAGAGATAACAAGCCCAAAATGGAGTCACTTGTGCTAAGCCGACATCACCAAACCAAGACATAACACCTAACCTAATTGCAATTTCAGCTTCTCAGGAATGTGATCTTAACCAACCTGGAATTACCTGGTCAGCACTAGTGAGGTGATCCACCTGCTAGGCCCCTGCCATCCCCCAGAGGAAGGTAACCTTGCCTGAAACAATCAGCTCTTTGCTACAATAACCTCCTTGTCCTGCCCTCTTCTGCCTATAAAAGTCGTTCATTTTGTATAGCTCTTTGGAGCTTCTGTCTGCTAAATGCGATGCTGTTCAATTCATGAATCATTGAACAATGCCACTAAGATCTTTATAATTTACTCACTTGAGTAATTTACTCAGGTGACAGTGGTGGGATCCAAAGGAAACTTCTGATGACTTCAGGGCCAATGAGAAACACAGGCATGGTACCTGCGAACCCTTTGAGATCCCTGTCTTTCTTGCCAGTTCCAAGAGCAATGGGTAAGTTCCTCTCAGCTCTGAGCTTTGCTCTCTTTGCATTGAGCTTCTGATCTAATTGGCTTTCCAGTCCAGGGCTTAGCAGGTCAGCTTGGAGTTAGCAGATGGTTCCACGTGGAACCTGAGTCCCTTGCCCTTGGTTAGTCCACAGTTCCCATTTGTTGAGGTCTGCTGGTTCAGTCCATAGTTCCACATCGGGAACTACTGGTGGTGCATATCAAAGGCCTCTTCTTTTTTCTGGCCCATCTGCAGCACCATCTCTTTGGTTACTGCTGGTGTCCACAGTCCCATTTCTCCCATGTTAATGTGCACATGAGGTAAAGGCTATTGCTAACAGGAATCTCAAAAGCGAAAAAGCCACAAAATTGGTGGACACGGGCCTAGCACTTAAAAGCTGTTCGAGTGCTCACCATCTAACTCAAAGACCCCCATGTTAGGATAAGTTGGTCATGGAATAGGTTAGACTAACACTAGGTCACCTGCCAACCTCAAGAAAATTTCCATGCAATGAGGTATGCTGTAAAACACCACACAATCCCTAACCCAATGGCACATCCCTCTTAGGTATTAGTTTGGCTCCAAGAGATGCAAGGCTTAGCTAAAAAAAATGGGATCCTTAAATTCCAAAGAGTCAAGCATGCCACCTTCTGGCACATTTGCTCATTTTATATCCAAGAACTATGGCACCAGAAACTATAAATATCTATAAAAATGGCAAAATCTTACTAAAAACAACCTAGAGTTACAATGGCCATTATGGAGAATGTTCCAATTAGTCAAGATCATTGTTTTGTGTTCTGAGAACTTGCCTTGTAACCGTCAGGTTGGGGCCCCAAAATATAGCC